GCATGGCTGGCTGGGGAATTCTGGGAGTTGAAGTCCACATGTCTTAAAGTCACCAAGGTTAGAAACGCTGCTCTAGGAGGGTCAGTCCATAATTTCATGATTGCATCAGATGGCAGATTCCTTCTTGGATTCTGCTACTGCAGCCGAAGAGAAAGTTCGCTTGTGTTTGAAGCAGGCTCTGATTTGGGGGTTGGGATCGGTCCGTAGAGAAATCAGCTTTAACAAGAGACGAAATGCTTTCAAAAGTACTGTTTTCCCAGGGACCAAAAATGTCTTCAGTAGTTCTGTTTACTCTTTTTTAAAAGAACAGTGAATGCTGAATGTTTTAGTAAAATGAATGTTAAATGTGCACCAGTAAGGATTGATAAAAAGGATTCAGAGTAAGGACACTTATGCTGTTGATAAAATAGTAACAATGCACTTGTTTTCCATCATCCTAGCACATGAACCACCGTCCTATCCAATGAAACATATGGATTTGCTTTCTGGCATCAGCTGTGGCCCAAATTCCTTGCTCCTTTGGGGCACCATGTCTTCAGAAACAAATCTACAAAATATGTCTTAACCATACTTTATCCCAAAGGAATACATTTCTGATCTCAGAGCCGGGCTTGAAAAAAAATGCATCACCCCTCTTTTAAATTTCCAAACTGTGAATCGAACATCTAGTACCGTCAATGTGCATGTTGGATCCTTTTTACTGTTCTTTACTATTACACGTGATTGTGTGGCATTCATTTAATTATTCTTCACAACAGTGTTTCTCAACTTCAGCAACTTTGAGCTGTGTGGACTTCAACTCCCAGCATTCCCCAGCCAGCATGCTGGAGTTGAAGTCTATCGATGTTGGCTGGGGAATTCTGGGAGTTGAAGTCCACACAGCTTCAAGTTGCTGAGGTTGAGAAAAGCTGTTTTCCAATACACCTGATTTTGTATCTTCTTTGTGGTTGCCAACTTTGTGTATCTAGAAGAAAGCTTCCTTTTTCTTTTCTTTTTCTGATGCATAATTTTTTAGCCACAATTTCCTTCCTCGCATTTCTAATAGCTTGGAGGAAAGATAAGTTGGGAGCATGTTAACAAATGATTGTCCTCACAATTATGATGTCAGGTAAAATGAAGATCTTTGATTTCTGGTTTCGCTGGTTCTATCAGCCATTTTCTAAGTTATGAAGTCTGTCACTTGCACTTTATTCAATGAATGCTTCATGAAATGTATGAATGCAGATTTTGGGGTGGGGGGCTATCTTGACAATATGGGATTTTAAAAGCATTGAAATAAACTGGCTGTATGAGATTTGTAATTAAAAGCCAAAACAGAAGCAACACTTGGAATGTTAATAACTATTTAATTTTGACTGCCATTTCTGTACGTGCCCAATTTTTTCACCTACACTGAAAATCGCTGCCAAGAATGGGAATAGGAGAGTACTGTAAGCTTCTTTGCCTCCAAGATTGGGTAGAAATTGTAAAATTAAAAAAAAAAATGAAATAGCAAGGCTGGGCCAAATAATACCATAGACGCACATCGATTTTGAAGTCTTGATTGGCAACCAGCTAAATATGAATTATTTGAACCTTCATGAGATGCTGCAATTGTGCTTCATTTTGCTAAGAATAAGATTGGTGCTTGTGATAGCCATACCTTCATTCTTCGCCTCTCAAGAGCGTGGCATCAAAATCAGTAAGTGTTGTAGTCGAAACACATCTGGAGGCCACCAGGGAGAGGAAGGGCCTATTACGTAATGCAGGACCCTCGTTCTGAAACAGCTGCATTGGCCTTCAGTGAGATCAACAGAACATCCAAAATAATTTGACCCAAAGAGGAGATTATTTCAGCAATTTCAGAGAAGTACTGGGTGGGATCTGCTGGATGAAAATCCTCAAGTCAAAAGGAACAAAGGAGGGTTGGGAACTTCTTAAAAGTAAAGTAGTGGAGGTATCACCACGCACCATTTCATTAAGAAGAAAAAAATGTGGGGTCAGTTTAAGAAACCATTGTGGATATGTTGGGAGTTTTGACTGAACTAAAAGTTAAAAGATACGTGTGGATTCTTAGCACCCTCATAGATAGATCTCCTCCATGATGATCTGTTCCCATCCTGGTCCTTCAGGTCTTCCAACAATACACCCATCACTGCTGTGATCCTCCCTCCCTCCCTTCCTTCATTATACTTTTCTTCCTTGTACTTTTTCTAACTTCCCTTCCTTCCTTCCTTCCTCCCTCCCTCCCTTCCTTTCCACAGTATTAGAGCCTTTTTCAGGGAACTATGTGTCCAATAGGATAATTTGAGCCTAGTCATTTCTGCCTCAAGTGAGAATTCCAGGTTGATTTGTTTGACAATCCATTAGTTTGTTTTCTTGGCTGTCCATGGTTCTCAGGAGTCTTCTCCAACCCCAAAGTTCAAAAGCGTCAATGCTCTTCCTCTCCTGCTTCTTCAAAGCCCAACTTTCACTTCCATAGAGTGTGACCATGGCTTGCACAATTCTGATCTTTATAGCTATAGACGCTTCCCACCATCTGAATATCTTTTCTGAGGCCTTCATGGCTGCTCTATCATAGGAAATGGAAGATGGGTGTGATCACCAAGAAAGGAAGGCTCTCTGCAGAAAACAAGATTAGAGCACAAAAGGAATTCAGGCTTGCAAGGGAAGCCAAAAACAATATAAAGGTGTGTTAGTGGCAAAAGAAAGGAGGTGGGTGGCCTGCTGCCAAAAGAGGATGGTAGAATAGGAGTAGGTGATGAGGAGAGAACAAAGCTCTTCCACTCCTTTCTTGCTTTGGTCGTTTTCCCAGAGGGTAATGAACTGAAGCAGAATGATTGATGCAAGGAGGGAATAGCAACTGAGGGGAAATGAAGCATTGGCAAGGGAGTGTTTGACAACCACAAACCAGAGTTGGTCTCCTGAACCAACTAATTACCTTTGAGAGCTTTGAAGGAGGTTCCAAATGTCATCTCCAAGCCCTTTCAGTGATCTTTGAGAAATCATGGAGGACCAGGTGGAGGGTCAGAAGACTGGAGAACAGCGAATGTTCCTGTCTTCAAAAAGGAAAAGTAGGATGACCTGGTAACTGCAGACTGGCTAGCTTGACATCAATACTGGGCAAAACTATGGGACAGATGATTAAGTGGATGGTTTATGAACTTTTAAAGCAGAATGCACAGCTGAGCAGATGCCACTGTAGGTTTATCATCATGCCAAGCCAAAGCCAAAACTGAACCTTTGAGGAAGAGGGATGTGTATGTCTCAGAACAACAAGACGTTGGACAGGTTCCTCCTTAGGTGGCAAATAATGTGTGGTCACTTTCCTGCATCTTATCCTTGCAGGATGTCACCTCCAGGTCCTTCCCCAAGGTGGGCATATCATCTTCGGATGAAGAAGAATGGCTAGCAGACCTTGGGAAGTTTTCAGACGTTAAGCTGAGCCCCCTTAAGAATCCTTTGCAAGCCTGCCCTCGTAATTTTTGATGGGTTCAGTGGAAGCTTTCATGCAAGGCTACAGCTTGTCTTCATCCATGATAAAGGATCAGCAGACATGGAGATGGAGAAGGATTCCAAGATTTGAAAGAGTACACACAAAATTGGGGAAACCAGAATTAGGCCAATGCAAAGTGAGTGGACCCAGTGCCTCAGTGATGACCAACCTGGGTGGGGTAGTAACAATGAGGGAAACAGGGCGGAGGAGAAGAATTGGAACTTTGACAAGAAGCACCATCTGTTGTAATCTCTGGTTGCAGATCATCTCCTTACATTGTCAAAGGTAATATTCCAAGCCACACAACCCAACGTAGTTAATTCTAGCAGAGAAACAACCCAGGTGTCCATCTTTCTGAAGTGGCCTCAACAGAGTGAAACAAGCAACTGTGGATGAAAAGCATCACTAGCAGGGCAGGGGTCAAAAAAATCAAGATGGTGCCATAGCTACGCAGTGAAAAGGGCACCTCTTTTTACACTGTTTCACTTGTGCAACTCATAAAAAAGGTCTAGGCCTTCAATCACATGTCACAGAGGCCATCTTAACTTTTTTTGACTTCCATGGATGTCCCTGATTGCATGACATTGCTAGTTACTAATGATCCCACTATCATGTAGCTTTAAAAACTCCTTTTCTTGTGACAAAAATCCATAGGTTGCTGTCCTTTTTTTATAACTGTGTTTTTCTAATTCCCCCTGCCCCCTTGCCTTTCTTTTATTTTAAAAAAATAATAAAAAGCAGTTGATCATACAACGTGACTGCTTCACAAGTTGTGCTAAGCCATAATGTGATATTATTTTATTGGACAATATTTATCACCTGCCCCAATCTAAAGACTAGGTGGGGTACAGCAAAATATGCGTACAAGAACAAAATATCCAGACTAATTTGGTTCACGGTGTTGTGTGAGTCTGGTTACAATAGTTTGCAAATCAGGGTTTACAGTTTAGGGTTGTGCACACCCAACCAGTTTCGCTTTATTCAGTATACCATGGTTGATTAGATTGAATAAGAGTGGCATCGCTAGGATTTTAATACAGCTTAAAATCACGATTCTTATACATTTTCAGAATGGTCACCCAACTGGGGCTGCAAAATCTGGCGATTGCTAGATTCCAGCAGAATGATACAGAATAATTCTTTGCTCCCTCACATTGGTCTTGTGGAGTTTGACCATCCAGATCTGGCTGCCTTAATATTCATTGCAATTAACAATAATTTTCTGCTTGCAACCACAAGGTGGAGCTGACACCATTTTGCCGCTGAATCTGGCAAATTC